CTGTTTGTGGCCCCCAGGCAGCACATTTGAGACTTCTACTCTACACAATTCAGAGGCTGATAAACTGTAGAGAACATGCTGATTTGAATTGGTAAGGGGGGGTTGGCTAGTCTGGAGTTTCCTGTGTCACTGAAACCACATTTTCAATCTGTAATTCCAATCCTAACAATAATCCTAATAACAATTAACATTCATATTAGTGTGTTAAGGTTCAGAAAACACTTCACGTATGTTATCTCATTTATTCTCCCCAACAACCTAATCCAGTAGTTGTAAATTACCAGGCTTGGCTTCAAAGACATGGGGCTTGGGGATGGGGAGGGGTGAGGAATGGGAGTAGGAAACATATGATTAGATCACAGAATATAATGTCAGATATTTTTATATATGCTGTATAGTTTTGTGAGACTTTTAAATTCTTTCAGTCAATAAACATTTATTAAGCATATTTATTAAGATGTGCCAGGCACTGTGTTAAGAGTTAGGGATCAAAAAAAAAAAAGATATTCCCTGCCCTCAAAGAGCTTACAATTTAATGGGTGAAGACAACATACAAAAGGGGAAGAAGGTACCTGGGATGGAGGTGTGAGGGAGAAATCCAAAGGAGTGCAGCTGGCTAGGACATGAAGAGATGGCTGGCTGGGGTACTCTCCTTAAAAGGAGACTTGGAGAAGAGCTCATCACACTATTCAATCAGAGAAGATCCAGAGGCGAAGGGTTCTGGCAGGGTGTGAGTACCGAGGCTGATTTGATCTTGCAGGATGATGGGGTTCCTGGGGCCGTGATGTAGAATCGAAGTTCAACGTAGTGTAGCCGGGTAGGAAACTGAGATGGTTTGTTATAAGGGATAGCTCAGGAGTGGGGGACTTGCATCTTAGAGGTCACATGTGGCCTTCTAGATCCTTGGGTGCGGACTTTTGACTGAGTCTAAGTTTTACACAACAAATCATTTTATTAATGGGATATATTCTGTGAAGTTTGGATTTAGTCAGAGGGCTGCACTTGAGAACCTAGAGGGCCACATGTCGCCTCCAGGCTTCAGGTTCCCACCCCTGAGAGAGCTTCTATGGTACAAGAGGGGAGATACATTGGAAAATGTGCATAGTGAAAAAACAAAAGATATCAATAAAATTACTTTTAATAAATGACTCTCAGGAGCCAGTTTTATGTCATGTGCTAGATTTAGTCAAAATCTTGGATCAGATCACAGATCTGGCATTTTATTAGGCCCGTGAGCTTGGGTTTTGTTTTTTTGTTTGTTTGTTTTTTAAGTCAATCAGAGTTAGGTAACTTGTCCAGGGTCACATAGCTAGTAAGTGTCTGAGGCAGAATTTGAACTCAGGTCCTCCTGACTCCAGGGCTGGTGCTCTTTCTACTTCACCACCTAGCTACCCACCCCATAATCTTGTAGAAGGGTAGCTAGGTGGTGCAGTGTATAGAGTGCCCAGCCTGCAGTCACGAAGACTCATCTTCTGGAGTTCAAATCCAATTTCAGACCCTAGCTATGCAACCTGGGCAAGTCACTTAAGCTTGTTTGCCTCAGTTTCCTCATCTGCAAAATGAGCCAGAGAAGAAAATGGCAAACCACTCTAATATCTTTGCTAAGAAAATCCCAAATGGGGTCATGAAAAGTCAGACACAATCAAAATGGCTAAACAATGACAAAAATCTTGTATAAGTCATTTATTCTGGGCTCTTAGATAAGGATTTTGGAATAGATGATCTCTAATTCAGTTCATTTAGTGTCTACTGTGGGCCAGGCACTGCTAGAGAAAGACAAAAATGAAAATAGCCCCAGCCTTCAAAGAACTTATGTTTTTAGTAGGGGGAAGTAACCAGGACATATAATAACGTGTACTTAGTGAATCTAAATAATTTTTTTTTGTGAGAGGAAGTGTAAACAACTGAGATCATCTCCAAGTGTTTACTGTTGGGTTTGTCAGTTGAAATAAAGCTTCGATGTAGGCAAGAACTGGAGGTGAGGAAGAGAGTGCATTCCAGGAAAGGGGGACAATCTGTCTCTCCCCGTTTCTCCCAATTCTGCATCCATCTCAACTTGTCCCCAAACACCTCATCCTCCCTCATCTCCCCTCCCCTTTAACTTTGCCTTAATCCCAACTTATTCCCAACTTATTGCCAATTCTCACTATAACTGTTGAAGAGATCACCATTCTTCTTAGTCTCCCAGACAGGATTTTATCCTTGATTCTTCACTCTTCCCCTGCATATATCTGTTACATCAACGAATCTTGACACTTCTGCCTTTCACAAGATTTCCCACATATATTCCCTTCTTTCTGTTTCTATAACCCCCACCCTTGAGGCCCATTTCCCTACCTCAAGTCTTTCCCCTACTACAATCCAGCCTTCACTTAGCTGCCAAAGTGATTTTCCATCTGTGTCAAATTCCAATGGCTCCGGCCTCTTTCTTACCTTCAGGCTGAAATATAACCCTCTTTGTCATTTAATGCTCACTCTCTCCACAACTGCTATACTGCCCTAAACTGTTCTTCTTCCCATGGGACAAGCCAGCTCTTATCTCTCCCTTTGCTCTGGCCTGCTGGTCCTCATGCCTGGAATTCTCTCTCTTCTTACCTAGGCCTCATCATTTCCCTAACTTCTTTTAAGCTCAATTCTTACCTTCTGCCAGAAGTTTTTTCTGGCACCCTCAGCTGCTAGAGCCTTCTTGTTTCCTGTTGCCTCCCATCTGCTTTGTATTTATCTCCTAAATTGTTATTTACTATGTTTTCTCTCCCAGTGGAATCTGAGCTCCTTGAGGGCAGGAACTGGTTTTGTCTTTTTTTTTCCCCCTAGCACTTATCACACGGCAATTTCCTGAAACATCCTGTATGAGAGCATGATAAGGAGGGCCATTTTTGTCTGGAAAATAACATATGGCATGAAAAACATGAAAGAAGTTTGTAAATCAGTTTCCATCCAGACTACGAAAAGATCGAAATGTGAAACAGGATTTTCTGTTTTATCCTGGAGACGGGAGCTTATTGAACACGAGTGTCATGGCCGTGCCTATCCTGAGGTTTCGGAACATCATTTTGGCAGCTGCGTGGAAGATGAATTAGACGAGGCAGAGACTTAAGGCAGGGAGATCAATTAGGAGACAAATGCAATAGTGCAGAGGAGAGATGATGAAGGCTTGAACTTGAGTGGTGACTGAGTAAGTGGAGAGAAGGGAATGTATTTGAGGGATATTGTGGAGAGAGAAACAACATTTAGAAACTGACTGGGTAGGGTAGCTAAATGGTGCAGTGTGTAGAAAAGTCTGTATTTGAAGTTAAGAAGAGCTGAGAGCAAATATTACCTCATACCAAACAGCTGTGTGACCTTGGACAAATCACTTAACCTCTAGGTCTCAATTTCCTCTTTCTGTAAAATGTGGATAATTATAGCACCTACCTCCCAGTGTTATTGTGAGGATTAAATAAAGTAAAATATGTAAAGTACTGTGAAAGCCTCAAAACACTATAAAAATGCTCAGTTATTGTAATTTTTATACTGAAGGGTGAATCAGGGATGACATTGAGGATCAGAACTGGGTGACTGGAAGGATGGTAGTGTTCTGAAGAGAAATCAGGAAATTAGGAAAATCGATACTTTTTTAGGGGTATTATAATTCCTTCCAAAATAGCACATTTTGGATATGCCTTTGGGAAATTCAGATGTTGTCTAGCTGGTAGTTGGTGGTGGGAAACTTTGACTCCTACTCTGAGGGCTGAACATGTAAATATTGGGAGTCATCTGCAGAGTTATGATAATTAAACCCTTGGGAATCCAGGAGATTACTCAGAGAGAGTAGATGTATGTATTCTTTCCAGCTCTTAAGTTCTTTGGTCCTATGTTTATGAATTATGGAGCAACTTGGGTCAAACTTATATCAAATGGGGCATGGAATAATTGTACAATTCCAGATAATTTGACTTTGTACTCTCAGAATATTGAACTATATATAGATAGATAGATAATAGAAATATACATATATATTATACAGTATTTTCATTGGCATAACGAACTGTCAGTGAGCAATCTCTTTGAATCAATGCAAATTTGAGACCTTAGAAGTTATATGATTTGTCTAGGTTTACACTTAGTATGTAGCAGAGGCTGATGAACCCAGGTTTTCCTGGCTTTCTAGTCACTAGCTCACCCAGCTTCTCATTCGGTTGCATAATAAATACTTAATTGCGTTGAAGCAGCTAGAGCCTGGAGGGGGAGTAGTGTCCTTAAGAAAGACTGGGAGGGAAGTGGTATAACACAACACAGGCTATACGGAAGGGTCGATGGACGGCGGTATGATATTGCAACATTTAGCCACAGTAACTCAGTCCAGTTATTAGTAAATATTAAGTGGCACTTAACTGTAAACTGTAATGCAAACAAGGATATTTGTGTTGATGTTATCTCCCTTGCTACTTCATAAGCACTTTGAGGTTCAGGGGCGCGTTGTTGTTTTGAAAACAGCACAAAATAAATGTCAAATGAGTTAAAAAAGGAAAAGGAAATGCAGTAACTCCCACGTTTTCTTGTTATGCAAGTCATAACTGCCCTCCGAAGATTTCCTTTCCTGAGTTATTTCCATTCCCTCTCTCCCCAAGTGTTCCCCCAATGTGCATCAGGAGTTCTGGTCAGCAGCAGCAGCAGCAGCAGCAGCAGCAGCAGCAGCAGCAGGGAACTCTGTGTTCCAGGGATGCCAGTTTGTACTTTGTTAGGCATCTGGCAAAGGACCAGTCTGCAGGCGGGTCTCTGGCACCTCTCTGGCCCCTGCACTTCGGCACCTCCTCCTTGATAGGCTGGCCACCCTGGCTTGTATTTTTTTTTCTATCCAATCCTCCTCTTTTTCTGGCCTTAATAGGCTAACATGCCCAATTAAGGAGGTGGACTGTACCACAAGAATCTTCTTGGAAGGGGTTTGGCTTTTTTTATCTACGCAATCCAGCAACTTTCCATTGCCCCGGGAATGATTTCTTTCCTTCCTCCCTTTTCAAAGTTTTGTTTTTTGCTTTGAGTCGTTAGCCAGTGATTTTCCTTAGCTGCATTTCTTTCCTTTCCTTTCCATAATTTTTGCCCCGCTTTATAATTAAATACTTTAAATTCCGGAGCTTGAAAAAAACTCCCTGTGCCTAGGAAAGTGGAGCTTGCTGAGACCCAGCCAGAGTGCCCGGATGTGTATCAGAATTCATGTAATCCCAAAGTGAACTAGAGGCTTAGTTTAGGAAACTGGAGTCTCTGGGAACAGGTAGGAAAGTGACTTTTTTTTTTTTTGAAAGAGAGTGCCGTGCATAAGGGAGATAGGAAACAGACATCCACTGACCCACCCTCAACAAATGCTGAAGGAGATTTTGGCTGGAGGGTCAGCCAGATGAGAGGGTTGATGGACTGCAGACTTTTTGCTTTATGAACTTAATTATGGCTTCCCCGTCAAGGTAAGGAAAGCACAGGGAGAAACTTTTTTTTTTTTTTTAAGGCCTAGGGGATGGAACGTTTGTTGTTAAAAGGGTAGGGAAAGAAAAGTAGTAAGTGGTTTGTCCATGGCTTTTCTCATCATTTCTCATGTTAATGTCTTTATTTTTTTACCCCCCAGGCTCAAAATAGTTTTCTTTATTTTACTGTTACTCTTGGCATGCATGGAATCTAGTAAGGAAGGAAATAATGTATTGATTTGCATGAAAAATGAAGATTGAAATTTGTTTTGGAAGAGAGTGGGAATTATTTGGAGTAAAATTATTTATGTGATTTCTTTTGCTAAACTGGTTGGTCAGTCTTTTTGTGTATCCTGGATTCCTGTATCATTATTTGTGATTTTTGGGTGAATTCAATAGGGTTAAGTAAAACAGAGTTAATGTTTGATAAGGTGTTTGGTACCTTGCCAGGTGTTAATCAGGATTTTGCTAATAGAATAGAGTTTTGTATCAAATGGCTGCGGGTGAAACTCCCGAGTTGGCTAAGGCTGGAGATGGACTTCGAATTGGGAAGGAGAGAGAATAATTAACTACTGTTGCTGTCAGTGGACCTGGTTTGTTGTTGTCTGGTCGATAACAAGAAAGTAGTTAATTACGTTTAAATGCGAACTGCTCTGTGGTGTTTTGGCTTTCTTCTGACTGCTACTACTTCCAGAGAAACTTCAAATGAACAGAGTAGACATTTCCTTTTAACTGCTTGAATATATTAGAAAGGAGGGCAAGCTCTCATCCCAGAACTCCATTTCTTTTTTTCTTTTTCTTTTCTTTTTTTTTTTAGGCAATGGGGGTTAAGTGACTTGCCCAGGGTCACACAGCTAGTAAGTGTCAAGTGTTTGGTCTGAGGCCGGATTTGAACTCAGGTCTTCCTGACTTTAGGGCCGGTGCTCTATCCACTGTGCCACCTAGCTGCCCCCACCACCCCAGAACTCCATTTCTGAAAAGGAAAAAGAGAAACCAGTCTCAAACTGAATTTAATGTCCTCTACTTATTTTAGTGTGGTCTGAAGACTAAGCCTGTTTCTGGATTGGGGAAAAAAAAAAGCATAGTATATGATGACAGAAAATAGGAACTAGAGTTATAATTTCATTAGTACAGGTAATTCCCAGTAAGTATTCTCCATCAATTCAGATTAACACCTTCTCTGCAATTTGTGTAGTTTTAGAGAGTTTCTCAGAGTTCTAGTTCCTACTCAGGGTCATGTGGCCACTATGTGTCAGAAGTCTGAATTGAACTCAGATCTTCTTGACTCCATGGCTAGATTCTGTCCACTGCTACCTTTCAGGGATAAGAAACACTAGAAATTTGTATTTCAGCCAAACTACCAATTTCACCCACTGATTTTGACTTTTTACCTAGTGGCAAAAGTGTCTGGGAAGTGAAGGTTGAGTACTTAGAGAAGAAATCTGTATATTTTCCCTCCTCCATTCCTGCTAGAATTCCTTAGCTCTGTGATTTAGGGTCTCCAGAGAAGATTCAGAGTATCTCCTGCTCTTCTAGATTTCCTCTTATTATGTCTTTGAACCTGGAACCACAGAGGGGATAGGACTGCTTGTGATGAACAGATTTCTTCTTTGCTGAATTTACCCTCTTTGCACACAGACCCTCAATGCCAATGGGAGACATTTTGTAACTTATACACTAAGAAAGGGAATGTGTAGGATGATTTCAGATCATTTTGGAAATTCAAGCAAACACTATAGCTGATGCGGTGTTGCATTAGATTTAAGACATATGGGCTGAAAGAGCCATGGGATGTGGGGAATCTTAGTACTGTGTACCAAACACAACATTTTCCACTCCTTTTCACTCATCTTTCATTTAGATTATGTTGGCCTCCTTTATCCTGGGTTGTGAGATGGTGCACAGACGTTGGATTTGGAGGCAGCTACTGACAGCCGTGTGACCCATGGCAGGTCACTTAAATTCTCCCTTTCCTTATCTGTAAAATAAAGAGGTGGAGGTGGGTGGGGTGGGTGGACTAGATGATTTCTGCTATCCCATCTAATTCTAAGTCTCATGATTCTTGGGGGTTTGTGGATCAGACTTCTCTCTTACAGGATCAACTATGAGAAAACTTGACTTAATTTTCTAGTGGTAGAGCCTGAAGGTAAATTAAATTGGATTCTTGTAGCACTAATGAGGGGACCACCTAGGTGGCACAGTGGAGTCGGAACAACGGAGGTCAAATTTGACCTCAGACACTTAATAGCTGTGTGATCCTGGGCAAGTCACTTAACCCTGTTTACCTCAGTTTTCTCATTTATAAAATGAGCTGGAGAAGGAAATGGCAAACCATTCCAGTATCTCTGCCTAGAAAACCCCTAATGGGGTCACACAGAGTCGGGCATGACTGAAAAATGACTGAACAACAGCACTGATGAATGTCCTATTTCAGGGAAGTACAGTGCTGTATACTGTAGGGGATCCTGGTAAACTTTTTGCCCACTGGACACTGATATCAGGGGGCAAATGAGTGTCTGAGTAATTGGATTGGAATCATACACATTGAAACGTATGCAAAACCTGCCAAACTGCTTTTTCATACTTAACCTGGGTGTCTCCTGTAAATGGAAAGAATTTCAGTCGAATGACAGAGAATTAACCTGTTTCAGAGTTAAAGACAGGAGTTTTTTGTAGTAGGAATGCATTTAATAGTAGAAAAGAGCACTAACGATTGGGACTGTTCTGGAGAATACTGATCACTGGGCCTTGAAATATGAAGTTTTCAGTTCAGTACCACCCAACTCCACAATTAGATTATGTTGTATGAGGGAAGAGGACACATCTCACATTGTATTACTATGTGTCTCCAGAGAGCCAAGTGAGGTTAAATTACATTACTTCTCTCATCTCCAAGTACAGAGTGTTTTTGCTTTATTTACACAGGTGAGAAGATGAAATGGAGAAAATGTGAATGACTTGTTTTTAATGATTTTTCATTGTACGTTTTTGTGATATTTCATATGTGGTTTATTTTCCGTTCACTTGAGTGGTTGGTTACTCAGCTGAATGACTTTGAAAATGCAGAGTCAGGTAAGGCATGATATACATTATTTTAAACTTTCAGAAATTTTTGTCAACTTTTCCATGCTCATTCTTAGAAAGTAGGCCTATTTTCTGCAAGTATGAGACTTGCAGGATGTCCAACTAAAGAACAACAGTTTTTAAAACTTGTACTTTCTTGAGTTTAGTTGCAATTAGCTTCAGCTTTGAAACATAGAAATTATTGTAGAAATAACCTAATTCTTGTTTTCTTCTGGTGAAGACCAATGCAGCTTTTTTGTGTGTGTGTTTTTAAACCAAGTTAGAAAAAGTCAAATGAGAGAGTCTTAACACATGACACATTTGTGTTTTTTTTCTGATGGACAAGTATGCTTTGGACTGAGTCGGCTCTGAAGGGAATGTTGTTGGTGAATATTACTGGGAAATGTGAATGCTTTGTTCTGTTCTGTCTCCCCTCCCCCTTCCCTATTGGAGAGCCAGCCTTATCTATGAGAAAGGATACATGCCTTTACCTCCAGTCAACTGTATTAAAAAGTCATGTGGGATAATGTTTGTGTGGGCAGTTTATTTTTTTTTAAACCAGAGACTCTCAACTTTTGATGGCAATTTTACCTAGACAGCTCCTTTTTGAAGTAGCCATCTCTGCTTTTGCTGTTCTCTTAAATCAAGTTTTCTTGATTATTTAGGAGAATTACATGTGGGGACTCTGTGAGTGAGGATAGGTTCTGTTCCTTCCGCATTGTACTTAAAATAGCTCCCAGGTTTACTGCTTTTAAACTGGATGTGATTCTTCCAGAGCTTAGCAGTTTTCATCTGATAATGGCTTCCCAGAGTCAGGCTGTAGTTAAATTTAAAATCACTGAAATCACAGACAGCAGAATTGTTCCTAAGATTCTGTTATTAAGCTCCAGATTGTGAAGATCTTGCTGTATGGAGAAAAGTTTTCCATTCACCAAAAGCAGCATCAGTGTTTTATAAGCCATACATTCTTCTGTTTTATCTTAGGAAATCTGTGAAAAACAGGGGAATTCGAGGTGATACAGTTACTGATCTGTGATAATTAAAATGAATAGTAGGGAAGAATAATGTTGAAAGTAAAGGGATTGGGGAAGTAATGAGTAAGCAAGTGGTTTTGCAGCATTATATAACATTTAGACTCTTAAGTGTATTTTTTTTCCTCTTGACGTAAATTGAAGATGTCAGTGAGCACCATTTGCAATTTATCTACATTTATTTCCATTTTATAGAGAGGTCCCTTGGTTAATTATAACTGGAGGTGGGACTAAGACCTTGGTCTCTTCCTTGGGTTTCTTTCAGTTAATTATGAGTAAATTTTTATTAGCTAGTATATGGGGGTATTCTTAACTACAGGTAATGAAAGTGACATCAGAGATTGCTACCTACCCCTTTTTAAAGATCACCTGTTTTGTAGTCATTGGCAGTTGGAATTTAGTATGTAGGTGGTTTTAAAAAAAAAATCTTAATTTTATGTTTACTTTGGATTGAAGGGTGTTTTCATCATTGAGGTGAAGGAAATCCTATGCTTTGGACTTCCTTGATTTGGAGTTCATGATTTTCTGTGATTAAATAAGATAATTCTTTATTTCTCAGCTACTTTAACAACAAAAACAAGAATTGTTGGGTTTATTAACCTCTTCAGTGCTTGGAAGAATAAATACAAAACCTGAATTCAGTTCAATTTGATAAGTGGCCATTCTGTGTGTTTTGCTACTTACCTGGCATAAAAAAAAAAAGACTGAAAAAATGAAAGCTGCTACCTTCAAGGAGCTTATTTTCTATCAGGGAAACAATTTGTACACTGAGAATAAGTACAAAGAAAATTCAGCAACATCTGTGAAGTTCCTTCCACTTGCAAGGTGATGGGGATATAATATGTATGTATAAATGAAGCACTTCAATTACAAAGTAATTTGGAGGGAGAAAAGTTGAATTAACAATTT